CAGGTTTTAGAGCCATGGCCATACCTCTGGCATTGGAAGCAACGACGAGGGTTTGGTATGTATGGCCTGATAGATGTCTTCGTGTACCCTGTTTGAATAGATTCTGGTAGTTTACCGGATGCAAACGTGAGTATTAAGTGTTTTGTCGGTGTTTCCTTATTATCTCTTCTGATGATAATTCTCTGTACATTAGTGACATTTTGGCTCTTCCACCCCTCCAAAAGTTCAGTTTCGGTCAGGTCAAGTAAGTCTGCGTCAGATACCACTCCGCGAGTTATGTTCATAGATCTGTGTGGTGTTACGGTTATCGGTACGTCACCAAATGTTGAGAGGCTGTCTAGCTTTACAAATTGTTCTTTTTCCCAAATTTCGTGGAGAAGGTCTCCGCCAGCCATTTTGGTTACTTTGTATCCAGCCCAGAGAGTTTCAGTAAGACACCTGGCAACTACGAATGGAGATACGGTCTTGGCTTGCTTTCCAGTTTTCTCACAGTGAATGACATGGAAGTTGGAAAATGTTTCTTTTGGCTGGTTGAAAAAATTTATATCATCGGTGCGTACCCCCTTTAAGCCGGTACGATCAGACAGTAGGGGGAATGCTCCATGCATACCTGTCTTATTTTTGTTCAGCAGCGTTGGCGGCCACCCACCACGGAGCCCAACGAGGGGACGCTACAAGTTTGCGGATGCTGAAACCTGCAGACGCCAGCCGTACAACGCCACTATAAACCAATGCGCCTAGGCCAAGGTAGGCTATTTGCACAGGGTTAACCCTAGCTACCAGGAAGTTTGGAAGTAAACGGAAGAGACTAGAGGACAGGACAGATAAAAAGTGAGAGATAAAGACGAAGATGTAGGGAGAGAGAGAAAGGAAGAGGCGACTGCCGATTTCCCCTGGGTGGGTCAGCCCAGGGGTGCCGTCTACGTAAAGCCGGGACCAAAGGGGTGTGTTGCCTCTGCTGGGGGGCCTTAAAGGTCCAATCACCCAGCCAACGTGCACTTAACGTGCACCCAGCTCAACCCCCATGATCCCCTTTTCCCCGGACACGGCAAAGCCACGCACGGCTAGGCATGGGAGGGAGCCAAAACTCCCCCGTTAGCTCGGGTCCGTGGTGTCGCTACACACCAAACGCCTATTTGCGCAGGCGCCCCTGCGGGGCATGTGGTGTCGCAAGCCTTCTCCATATCAAGGAACGCGAAAAGCATTGACGGTGTACAAAAGCATCTCGGATCTGTGCCTCGATACGAACCAAGTGGTCCATGGTAGATCGACATTCTCTCGCACTAGAATTGGTCAAGCAGATTGTTTGTTTCAAGGAAGTATATAAGTCTGCGGTTTATCATCTTTTCAAAAAGTTTGCATAGGCAGCTTGTTATTGCGATGGGCCTGTAGCTCGCGACCGAGGATGCATCCTTGCCTTGTTTGAATATGGGGATGACAATAGCCTCTTTCCAAGAAGTAGGCATCTCGCCAGCAAACCATATAGCATTGTACAGTGAAAGTAGGGTCTTTTGTGTTTCGAGAGGTAGGTTTTGCAGCATTTCATATACTACACGGTCTGAACCTGTGACGGATTTATTGCAGCAGTTTTAAGATGCCTGTAGCTCAGCTAAACAAACAAAAAGGTCCATTGTATGCATCGTATCTTATACATTTTCGCTCCAGTTCCTGTTTTTCTATTCTTGTTTTATAGCGCTGAAAGGCCTCAGAGTAATACAATGAACTCGACACCTGTTGAAAGTGTTCGCCCAGGGCATTCACTTGGTCTTCCAAGCTGTACCCCTGTGTGTTCACCAAAGGGAGTGAATATGTTTTGTCGCTCTATTACCCTACTGACCCTGTTCCACACTTTAGACTCATGAGTATATGAAGTAATACCTGATAGAAACCTCTGCCAACTTTCCCTTCTCGCTTATCGCCGTGTCCTCCTGCCTTGCGAGTTTATGTTCTTAAAGTTAAAAAGGTTTTATTCTTATTTCTTAATTTCAGTGCTGAGACTTCATGATGATAATATGTGGGGTTTAACGTCGTCCCAAAACCACCATATGATTATGAGAGATGCCATAGTGGAGGGCTCCAAAAATTTTGACCACCTGGTGTTCTTTAACGTGCACCCAAACCAGAACATACGAGCCTGCAGCATTTTCACCTCCATCGAAAATGCGGCCGCCACGGCCGAGATTCAATTCCACGACCTGAGTGCTGAGACTTCACAAAGGAACTGATTTTTCTTTTTCTAAAATGGCAGAATTAAAATGAGGTATGGTCTGGAATAGGCATACAATTTTATGTAGGCATATCTACATATGTAAATTGGTATGTGGCCAAAAACGCAATTTTCTAACATGCAGAAGGCTGAATTTGTAATTCAATCAAGGCACATAGATAAAGAACTAAGTTGGGGGTGATTCACGAGAAATCGACACGGGTCGAAAAGTTGATATTTTAAGTTTGATTGCTTATTTTATATATTGTGCACATACCACCCAGTAGCCTGAAAGTGAACTTCGTTTTTTTATTAAGTGCATAGTTTAGGAGGAAGAAAACATTGAACTTATCTTGTACAGAGGGACCAATTTCGTCCTTTGTCATTTTCAAAAGTTAACGACGATATAAACATACAACTATTAGCTTGATGAAGACATGTTTTTTTTTCTACTAAATGTAAATGCAACGAAGAGTGAAGCAGTATTGTTTGAAGCTTCTATGCTGAAGCAAAGCGTTTCTGAAAAATGTCGGAACAGGTGACATTTTTTAAAGGTTACTTGATTTGAGATTTTTTTTTTCCCTTCTAAGCTAAACAAGCTAGTGTTTCATAACTCAGTGACCTATTACAGCATAATGTTTACAATATTGCCTGTCAATACCATGGCTGTACCTCAAAACACAATTTTATAAATGGCCTCAAACTTTCAAATTCGCCTATTGAATATTCAATATTTAAAAAATTCCATCTTCGATTTTTCTTAAAATCTCGTAAGGCATTTCTCACAGATGATAGAAAAAGAGTATTCAAAAACATATTGATGACAATATTACAGGTGGAAGTTCCAGCTTTTCGAGCATCCTTTTAGGAGATTAACGCACAAGAAATCGGGCAAAAAGAGTGGGCTTGAGCCTCTAAGTCGTTTGAACAGGACCATACTTACAGAGAAGCAGATTAGCACACTGAGGAATAAATTGCTGTCAAGACGCATTTCTGGTGGGCTTCGGTCAGCTTTAATGCCGGAGGAGCAAGACATAATGACACACTCTAAGGCAGTACATATTTGCAGACAGTGCAATGTATTAAAATGCTCCAAAACCAGCATAGGACCACGGAAGGTAGTACATGAACACTTGGAATGACCCCCTTCCCTATCCCCTTTTAAGCTGAGGAATGCATTGAACAAAAGCCATGGTGTGCTCAAAACACTCATTTTTCATATGACTTACAGCAGTGCTTGACACTAACAAAACACGACCATAATTTGTATCATTAGGTGAGGTTGACCAAACACATCAAAAACGTAGGCCTGTAACACGTGGTAAAAATATGCACTAAATCAATTTTGAAGTAACGAATAGTCTCTAGGTAATCTTCATTTGCATACAGAATTTTAACATTCTTCAGCCACATAGTTTTCTACAACATCATTTCAGATGCCGGCTTAATCACTCCTAAACTTGCCACTCTTAGGTGGGAGAGTGGGGTGTCGTGCTTTGATAGGCTTTACTTAATTTTGTTTCATTAAAATTACAGACTTCTTACCGTTTCCTATAGTTGAAACCTTATGATATTATACATTGCCTACAAGAGGAGGCGCGCATGAAATTGTTCAGCAGGCGACCAGAGAAATAAATGCTGAACCGTGTTCGGGTTAAGGAAGCGGCAGCAGCATTACTAAATCTCAATATTCGTTATGCTTCGGTGGTTCCTCTCGCGAGCCTATTCACATTTAAGTGTTCTGAACCAAAACGTTAAAAGCAGATAACCGTAATAGCTGCCTCACATAACAGAGGTGAGCAACGGAGGGTGCCAAAAACTTGGGGGCCTCAAGCCTCGGCTTAAAATGGCAAATTGAGGTATTTCAGAAGGGCGCACTTAAAACGGTCATTCCCGTTTACCAAATCTGCTTTTCTTCAGTAAGTATGGTCTTGTTAAAGTCAGAAGCTCAATACCACTTTTTCTAGCCCAATTTTTCATGCGTTCATCGCCTAAGTGCATGCTCAAATAGCTGGAACTTCCATCCGTAATATTGTCGCTGTAAACAAAATAATCCAATATGTTTTTAAATATTCTTTTTCTATCATCTGTTAGGAATGTTTTATGAAATTTTAAGAAAATACGAAAATAGGGTTTCTTAAAAACTGATTTTTCTGTAGGCTTTACTATCGAATTTGAAAGTTTGAGGCCATTTATAAAAATATGTGTATGAGGTACAGCAACGGTATTGACAGGCAATACTGTAAACATTATGTTGAAATAGGTCACTAAGTTATAAAACACTAGCTTGTTTAGCTTAGGAGGGAAAAATTCTCGAATCAAGCTATTTTAAAAAAATGTCACCTGTTCAGATATTTTTTCGAAACACTTTGCTTCAGCATACAAGCGTCTAACAATGCTGCTTCACTCTTCATTATGCGTACATTTACTCGAAAAAAATAATCTTCATCAAGCTAAAATTTGTGTTTTTATATCGCTGTTAACTTTCAAAAATTACAAGAGACAAAATTGGTCCCTCTGTACAAAATAAGTTCAATATTTTTTTATCTTAAACTATGTAGTTAATAAAAAAAACGAGGTGCACTTTCTGGCTACTGGGTGGTATCTACACAAAATATAAAACAATCAAATCTACAATATCAACTTTTCGACCTGTGTTGATCTCTCGTAGAATCACCCTTAGTAAGTAGCAAGCACATGTCTAAATGCATATATCTTCTTCATTTGTTCCCTGTACTGCAAGCCAACTGATCCTTTAATTTTTCACAAAATATTGTAGTTATGCAATACGTACTTTCCTGTGTTGTACCATCAGATGCAGATGCATCATCATCATCTTCAGAGCTTTCCTCGTGCATCCTAAGGTGAAAAACAAGGATAATCAGTAATAAGTGTGCTTAAAACACTACTAGAAGCATAATATGAATGTTAAAAAGTAATGAAATCTAAATGACATATGAAGGCGAAACTAAGTAGAAACCTATCTATCATATATAAGTACAGTAGACACAAAGAATGCTAGTGAACGCTAGTAATTAACTGCTGAATTAAAACTGCAAATGATGTTTTGACTTCTGGTAACTTTTGCTGCAGGTTATTGCTTATGTGCTCTACGTCAAATATAGTTTATTGAAAAGTGCACCTAATAAAGGTCCACTTTGCAACCTCCAAATGCAGCCGGCAAGGTTGGGTATCGAACCTGTATCTTCTAGATTATCAGCACAATATCTTAGCTGCTAAGCCATCATTGAAGGAAGCAGCTAAATCACCATGCAAAGTTTCACTGTCCTACATAAAATCACCTGGGTCGGAATATTTGAATGTCCCTTGCATTATTGATCAAAGCATTACTTATGGCATCAAGGCTAAAGTAAAGTAGTAACCATTGTGCTAAAATGCACTGCTGAAGTTGTCAGATCGTATCTGTTTGCTGCTTTCCCGTTTTCTTTGCACCAATAAGCAGAAAAAACTGTGGTTCTCTTATTAATTTTCCTGGGTACTTCAGCCATGGGGGTAAGGTGTTGACAAGAATGACGCTGGCAGATCAGGCCAGCTGCGAATGCCAGCTGCGAATGTGAATGCAGCATTAGGCAGGGATGCTACCGAGGGCTTGTGATTTGGAGCCATTTTCGGAGCAGCAATATTTTCATTTTGGAGCACTTTGAAGCAGCAAAATTTTCTATTTTGGAGCGCTTTGAAGCAGAAAAATTTTCATTCTGGGGCTCTTTGGAACAGCAAAGTTTTCTATTTTGGAGCCCTTTGGCAGAAAGCTTTCTATTTTGGAGCACTTTGAAGCAGCAAAATAACTAATTTTGGAGCAATCTTGAGCAGCTAACTTCACATCCGAGCGGAGAAGGAAGTAGCATTTACATTCAAAAACAAATATCTTGGGGTTCTAGTAAAGAGCTAGAAATATTTCAATCCATTGCAAATCCTGGAGCAAATCATTTTAGGAGCACTCCTTATTTCAGTTGATGATGCAAAAATAATGGCATCATTATGTTAAGCATTTTGGAAAAACTGGTTTCGTGATTATTTTTGTAGCAAATAAACAGAATACTGGAAGAATAAAATTGTACTTTATGAAATAATATTTTAAATTCATCTATGTGGTTAGCAGTAGATCAGGCCAGCAGACAAATGCTGTGACGTAAAACGCTAGAGACTCACACAATCCAAACTGCATTTCCCTAAGAACAACAAAGGAAGGTTCTTTTTCTTCGCAATCAATTATACTGCTGGGCATAACATGACATCTCATAAAGCACTCGTTTCTCTATGATGAAACTACACGACTTAACAAACTTCGTTTTCCTTTTGCAGTAATGTTTTATGGGGCTAAGACATTCTGTCTATACTCTAAAATCTCCCTGTAGGGTCCTCTAGAAAGCAGTGTATAAAGACAAAAAAATCTCACAGGGTACCTTATGACTACGCCTAAGACGACTCCAAGGCGAAAGCCATTTTGTTTTTATTGCGATGCTTGACCGGTCTTTGCCATAGCCGGGAGCGCAGGTAGAAATTTGGGGATGGAGGGGCGAGTGTACCAAAATCTGAAGGGAGGGCAGGCAAATAGCAATATTAAGCTATATATTTTTATTTATTTTATTTGGACAATACTGCGAACCTTGAAAGGTCCAAGCAGGAGAGGGATGTACATATCCAGCAGACATGCGTATGGATGCAAGATCGACACATGAATGTGAGGGTACATAATCAACAGGTAAGTATACAATCATTATACATTGGATGACAGCAAGGGTGAACACTCTGGCAAAACATTCCAATCGGAAACAGTTCTGGGAAAAAATGAATATTTGTATTGGTCTGTACGGGCAAAGAACGGTGTAATACTTCGGCTATGTTTGTGTCGAGACGCTCGACTAGGGTTATTAGCTATGTAATCTTGCGACTGGATTCCCAATTTATTAAAATATAGCTGGTGTAGAAAGTTTAGGCGGGCACTTTTACGTCGGTTGGCCAATGGCTCTAGGTGTGCGAGCTCCAACATAGCTGAAGGGGAGTCGCGACGTCTAAAACGTTTATAAATAAAGCGAGCTGCCAATCTCTGAATTTTTTCAAGCTTTTCTTTATTAGTGATAGTATGGGGATCCCATACAATGCTTCCGTATTCTAGGGTGGGTCTTACAATGGATTTGTATGCAATGAGTCTAAGCGATGAGGGGGCATCACCTAATTTATGCTTCAGAAATCCTAACTTTTTTCTCGCGGAGGAACATATGTTATTTATATGTGTTGACCAGTTAAGTCTGGACGTCAAGGTTAACCCCAGGTACTTATGTTCCTCCACTTGTTTAATCTGATAATTGCCAAGACTATACATGAAGTGAGATTTATTCTTATTGGAGATGCACATGTAAACTGTCTTGTCGAGATTTATAATCATATCCCATTTATTGCACCATTCCGTTATTGCATGCAAAGCACGGTTAAGAACGTGCTGGTCAGTGACAGACACTATGTGGCTAAAGATGATGCAATCGTCTGCAAACAGCTTAAGGCGTAGAGGGGGCTTCACAATTTGGCCAAGATCATTAATATAAATGTTAAATAGAACCGGTGCCAAGACCGAACCCTGTGGGACGCCAGAAAAAACATCAAGAAAACGAGAACAGGCACCGTCAATTTCAACATACTGTTTGCGGCCAGTTAGGTATGAAATGACCCAATTGACGACTTGTGATGGAATGCCTAAGTATATATATGCCATGGCAAAAAAAAAAATCGGGGAAGGGGGCACGTTCCCTATATGCCCCGCTCCTCCTCCCCTGGCTACACCACTGGTCATTGTCATCATATTTTGTGCAATGTCCCAATCGATAACATCCCTCCTGTGCATCGTGTGTTTTGCAAGCTGGTAAAAACATGCGAGCAGGGGCAATGAACAAGGCTAAAGCAGATAAAAAGAGCCGACCTATCTCCTTCGCACAGAGTTCGGATCATCACCTCATATGCCAGGCCTGTCATCGATTAAAAAACGCGCTGCCCATTTTCAAAAAGCAGGAAGGAACTATGACGGCAAGGGGAGGGGGGCAGGCGTTGTTATGAACATTGGGTATGATCAGTGACACGCTCGCTATTTCGGCAGGCATTAAAGACGGCTGTTATACCCTTCTATTTTGTACTCTCAACGCGAACAGACTGTTGGTATTGCATTCATTGCTAAGAGCTTAAGTGAAACTAACAAATTGAAGCTTTAGGACACGATATCATTTAACTCAAAAGATCGCTGTCTAAAGGGACAATGATCACTCCAGTTGGTGAAGCGGTTCTCATGCTGTCAGTTATATAAACGGGAAGCAGAGGTTAGTAACCCAGAGAGTTTACGAGCATGTCTCATTATGCCTAGAAATAGCACGGGCTAGCAACTGCACCCTTCAAGCGACGCAGCCTCCACCACCTCCCACCAAACAAGATTGAAGAAATGAATGCAATGACGTGATGTTTAATTTTCAAGGGCAAAGCTCCTTATAGTGAGACCTGTCCGGTTGCCAAGTGGTGTTGATCCATCCTCTGTACCCCATAGTCTCATAGAGATGCATGCAAACTGCAGCTGGGTGACGATTCACTAAATGGCGCTGTACACATTCGATTCACTAAATGACGCTGTACACATTCCATTTCTTGTCTCGTTTCCAAGAGGGCGCTGTCCCGTAGACATGCGTACAATATGCCGGTTGGGTGAAGGTACGCTAGATGGCGTTGCCGGTGCAGCTGCTCTCCGATTGGCTGCTGCGCGAGATGCGCGGGGCTTCGCTGGCGCACCCATTATCTCTCATTCTCCTAAATCGTCGCCGTACATGTGCATGAATGGGTGGACGCCCGGATCGGCGGATGCACCGACGGAAGGACGCTTCACTTCACTCATCAACATTCACTCCTTGTATATTCTGCAATTTATTTTAACTGTCAACTATATTGACCCTGGAAAGCAAGATGCGAAAGAGTAACAAGGAGTAGCCGGTTCAGAGTGGTTCTTCCGACACCAGAGCCGCCAGCGATAGCCTCCCTATCGAAAGATGCGTGTATTAAATCTTAAGTGCGGCTGCTCCAACCAAGAAGCATGCATTTATTAATCAGAACACATTTTAAAAACAAGCATGCGAAAATTTTGAATGCGAACCCTAGCAATGTCGAGTTTGAAAGAGCAGGGTGTTTTAAGGGGTTTTACTGCAACAGTGATTACAAGCCCGAATGTGCTGGTGGAAGGAATTACGAAAATGACTTCTAGATGAAGATCCATGAATAAGCTCTTTTAAAGCAAAAGTGTCAGCATGTTCTCACCATTCACGTATTCTTCTGTGGCCGAGAAGTGGGGAAAATTAGAACGGGATGTCAGGAAGCAGACAACAGATATTCTGGTGGCACGCATGCAGTTATTATTGAAAATTGCTTTAACTATGTACCATGCAACCCTTTAAAGGAGCTATCAGCATCGTTTCTGGAACAGATCGTGTCCGACGATGAATCACCAAAACAGTTTCGCCTACCGATTGAACTAGACGTCACAAGCACCTGGGAGAGCACGTTTTGCCATTACACGGGCTTACACAACGGAAATTACACCGGCACCAAACATAGCATCGTAAATTATTTAGAGCGCACGCTGAAGGAGATCCTTCCTACGTACGGCTGACACAGAAGCCTAGCTAATGTTGCAGCTGCACAGTCTTACTGTGCAAGATTAACGTCCCCTTTCCGTAGCTGGAGTCATCGACGCTACACAGGTTCGGGCGAATAAGGCAACAGGCTAGGTCAACAAAACAACACTTTATTGCTACGTTAGCCAGAACGCACAAGTGTCGCGAAGAGGGACTTCCACTTGAGGCAGATAACAA